ACTCTTTTACCAACGAATTGGTTTGACCGTCACATTATAACGCCCCCACGGCTGAAAGGGCGAGCATGTTTGGTGGGATGCGGATTCGAACCCGCGACCCTCAGATTGTGAGTCGAGCGCCTTATCCACCTGGCCATGCCGGGCATAAATCAGGTTGTATACCCAGCAAAAAAAAGCAATATATATATATATATACAACCTATAGTACAAACTATCACCATACATGTAAGTTAAATATTCAAATAAATATGTTGCTAATATTCTCTAAGTTGCTTGATTAATATATTTGTTATAAAGTCGGTAAGCAGTTTTTTATAAAGCTATATACATCACACACATATAAGTGAGTTACAGATATTAACATCATTTTTAATTATTTTGAATAGGAAGAAAAAATAATAATTGACTTAAACTTTATCTAGTTTACTTTTGAAAACCTTCACCTATCATATTCAAGCTCTTATAAATCCTTATTAAAACCATCCATCACAACTTGCCACTTAAGCATCTTCAATACAGCAAATGTTTTGATTTACCTATGTGGTATACAATGAAAGAACTCTAAACAGCTAAACATTAGTATATTTCGAAACTACATGAGATATGATGCTGCCGCGTAACTCTAAAATTCTTATAAGAAAAGCTTATTTTATGGCATTGTTATTACATTATAGTTTTAACATTCCTTGAGCAATTTTTACATTTTTAATAAAAAATATTGACTCAAGAGTAGTCTTACCTGGTTTTCAAGTTTGATTAGTACTAACGAGAAAATAATTGTACTTTTTACTGCTTGAACTGGAAATATATGTTTATTCACCAAGGTTTCAATGTCCTTTGAGGAGTCAGTCACTTCGCGGATTTGCTGTCATATGTTAGACTTATCTAGCGTACCACATATGAGCATGAACTTGTTTATGCTTCTGACGTCACAATGACAGGAAAAAAATTAGCCAATTAGGAACGAGATGACATCATTCTTTTCTAAGCTAGTTATGATTTTACTAGAGACAGTAATCACATGGGTTCTACCACAATTCCACATTTATCGTTATCTAAACTCATAACTTCAAAACTTAGTCACTAAGAATGTTTGTATACGTACTCACAACATATAGTTTGCCAGTTTAAGCTCTTGAAAAAAAAAAGCTAGACAAGAAACGTTTTCAATTAAAATTACTTTGGGCATATTATTTAATATAATAATAATAATAACTTGAAAATAATTACATTAAGGAAGATAAATTTATTATCATCCAAAGAACAGTATGTTGAAGATTTTGTCTTTTTGAACAACTCTAGAATGAGGTTATGTTGAAGATATTGTGTGTTTTTTAACAACTCTAGAATGAGGATATGTTGAAGATATTGTGTCTTTTTGAACAACTCTCAATTCGTAATTCTGTTTTGGAAAATACTTTGTAGCGGAAAAAAATAAGAACATTAGATATATATATTGGTTATTTATAACCTCATTCTAGAGTTGTTCAAAAAGACAATATCTTCAACATAACCTCATTCTAGAGTTGTTAAAAATACACAATATCTTCAACATAACCTCATTCTAGAGTTGTTAAAAATACACAATATCTTCAACATAACCTCATTCTAGAGTTGTTAAAAAACACACAATATCTTCATCATAACCTCATTTTATGCTGTTAAAAAAGACACAATTTCTTCATCATAACTTCATTTTATGTTGTTAAAAAAGACGCAATTTCTAGAACATAACCTCATTCTAGAGCTGTTAACAAGTGCACAATATTTTCCCCATAACCTCATTCTAGAGTTGTTAAAAATACACCATATCTTCAACATAACCTCATTCTAGAGATGTTAAAAAAAGACACAATATCTTCAACATAACCTCATTCTAGAGCTGTTAAAAAATCACACAATATCTTCAACAATAACCTCATTCTTATGATCATAACAACCTTAATACAGGTTCCAGACCTACAAAGGTCCATTTTAGATAACATTAGAAGATAATCATAAATCGATTGGGTTTTAATCTTAGAACATTGACTTTTTATTAACATTATTTTCAAAATACATACAAGTAAATTAAATAAAATACATTGACGTTTATATTAGTGCTGCCATCTAGTGACAAAGGACTGATAAGCAATAAGGTTTTTCTTTGACAATTATTTGCTTTGTCATAATTTAAGAAAATATTTTTAAAAATTGACTAATATAACTTTTTACTTCCACTTTTAGTTGACTGTATTGTAATAACGAAAAAGCACGCTTATATAGATGTGCTTATACATGTTTCAGCATTGAATTACTTCTCATAACTCTATAGTGAACGTTTAAATGAAAGTCTCTGCTAATGACCTAAGTAATGCCATTGTGTACGCTTATTGTGTTCATTAATTTGAATTAAGCGACTTGTGCACAATGAAAGCTTGCCTAGAGAATATTCCTCAGTATTGTTTAACAGTCATAATCGAGAGAGAATATGGCTATGTGGAAGTTTGAATTCTTAAAAAGTGCATTACTTGTAATCTATTGCTAGTGCGTCAACACTTTTGTTTAGTTGGAAGAACTCTCGCTTGGTGTGCGAGACCTCTCGGGCTCAATCCTGCTCACGATAGTTGCCAAAATATGATTAACATATCTATATTATGTTCTAAATTCCTGGTCGAAAATATATTTCTACGTTGGTTTGAATGTCTCCATTGAGAGTATATTTCTACAGAGAGAATATTCCTACGTAATTTTTGAAAGTCTTCTTCGAGAATAAAAGTCTAAGGTGACGTTTGAAAATCCTCTTCGAGAATATATTCATATGTAACATGTGAAAGTTTTTGTGTTTAAGAAAAGTCTATTTTTAATTATCAACAAAAAAAGTCGAAATCACCTCAGGTTGGTTCTCTTTGTACAGACAGCTTCGCGGCGGTCTGGTGATGTTTCCAATTACCATTAAACCCACTCCCTAGAGCCCCCAGTGGCACAGCGGTATGTCTGTGGACTAACAACGCTAGAATCCGGGTTTCGATACCCGTGGTAGGCAGAGCATAGATATCCCTTTGTGTAGTTTTGTGCTTAATTACAAACAAACAAACACTCCCTAGGTCTTCATTTGAGATAATAATTTCGGTTCAAGTTATGTGGAATGACTACCCCACCTGTCCCCCTCCCCCCCAAAAAAACACTTTCATGCTAGTGAGACTCATAATGTAGGGATAATATAAAATTCTTAAAAGACTAAATTTATAACATCTCAGATGTGAACACTTCAATGGTTGGTAGCATCTTAAAGAATCTATTCACATGTAATTATAAAAAGCCTTAGTCGAGTCAAGCAAGCATTCCAACTCTCATGTTTCTTATTACTTTCAAAACTCTGAAGAATTTAGTATATTCCTGCTTAATGGTTGGAAGTCCGCGTTTCAAATATTTTCCAAGTAATGTTTGAAAGTTTTCATTGAGACAAGCAAACATATTTTATTTCAACTTTCACTGGAAATCGTTAAATTGTTGCTAGTCAAGATCTTTCTATAACAAACTTATGTACTAATGCAACACATTTGAATATTTATATCGCACGCTTTATCTCTTTTTTTTAGTGTTTTAGGGTTTTTATTGTACGACGAGCCAATAAAATGTAAGGGAGTCGTTTAATTTATTATTGAGATCATTTTTATTAACGTACCGGTCCTCCGGTAGTCAGCGGCAAACCTTAAGGTTTTAACGCTAAAAATCAAGTTTCGAAGCCGTTGATGGTATAGCACAGTTAGCCCATTGTGTATCTTTGTGTTTATTATTAAAAAAAAGCAAATAAATATGTAATGTAGTGTTTAACTTCGGCGTTAGCAAGAGGCGTCCACACAAGTTAGAATGCATATTATAAGAACTATCCTATAATAAAACATAAGCTTCATGTTTAAGAATTCATGAAACATTTGGAACATAAATTTTTAACTTGTGGAATGCTTTGAAACTATAATTATTTACAACAAGAAACGTATACAAATTAAGTGGTTGTTCGTACCTATAATATCGGTGGTTCTTTGCGGCTTAATTGTAGTTTAATTTGTAACTGTAATATTGGTATTTCCTTGCGGTATATAATGCGATTCGAAACTATAACGATGGTATTTCCTTGGGGTTTGTAGTCCAATTCTTAACTGTAATGTTGGTATTCCCTTGGGGTTGGTAGTCCAATTTTTAACTGTAATGTTGGTATTTCCTTGGGGTTTGTAGTCCAATTCTTAACGGTAATGTTGGTATTTCCTTGGGGTTTGTAGTCCAATTTTTAACTGTAATGTTGGTATTTTCTTGGGGTTTGTAGTCCAGTTCTTAACTGTAATGTCATTAATTCGTTGGGATTTGTAGTCCAATTTATTGGTATTTCTTTGCGGTTTCAATTGCAATTCATAACTGTAATGTCATTATTTCGTAACTGTAATGTCGGTATTTCTTTGCTATTTGTATTTAAAGTCGTACCTTCGTTACGGTCCGTTGTCCAAATCATAGAACTTTCATTAAAGCTGCTTCTCAAAACTTAAAAATCAGAAAATGGCGAATTAGTTGGAACAAACATTTGAAAAATATAACAAAATTCGCTTGATCATGGAAATGCTGGTTATTGGGATCGTTAAAGCAAGAAAAAAATTAACAAATCAGTAACAATAAGTATCAATTTTGATGATACAACGCATAGAAAATATCCAGGCAAGTTTGGTTATCAGATAAATTTAGCATAATAAAGGCCATAAAGATATGTCACTATTCTTATATACATTTCTCAAATTATGGATAACTTTTCTGTCTATTAATAAAAGATGTTCTAATTTTCATTAAACTCCTCTGGTACAGGCTTAAAAACAGTGTATTTAAACCTGTTCTCTTAACTACCAAGTTTTAATTAATATACAGTAAAATGCATGGTACTAACAAAATATGATATCATAAAAATACAAAAAGTTTTCAGCGGCTCAGTGGTAAGTCTGAAGACTTATAGTACTAAAAAACTAATTTCGATACCCGTTGTGGATACAGCATAGGTAGCCCATTGTGTAATTTTAAGCTTGAAAACAAACAAACGACCAAAAGTAAAAATAAGAGTACGTCAAAACACAGTTCCAGGTGTTGTAACAATAACTGTTCTTTTAAAACGAGTCTTCAGGAACATGACGTGAAAGCGAATTTTTGTTTTGATTAGTAATATTTTTTTTTGTTTTATGTAACATATAAAACGAAAGCAATCTCATATACAGCTTCAGCTCTTAGAATTGTTTTATATTACGGGTTTCCCGGGGAGACAGCGGTGATTTTATGGACATGCAACGCTAAAATCCGGGGTTCGATTCCCCGCAGGTGAACACAGCAGATATCCTAATGTGACTTTCGCTAAAACAAGTATATATATATATATATTACGGCAAACTGGTGCAAAATATTTGTACCCGCAACGGCGAGAGAAGAATAAGCAAACGTTTAAGATATTTAAGAACAATTTTCATATTTACAAGAGTGTTTCATACAAATATCTCGTGATATGATTATTGTCAACATACAATATTATAATAAATACTGCTCCTACATATCACGTATTTAGTAATAACGTAAGACATCTAAATATTTAAGTCGCACGCTTTGCATCGTTTTTGTGCGTTTCGGAAATTAATTAATCTAATAAAGAATCGTTTAATTTAAAACTGAAAACACATACATGTATATATATAATTAAATGTGAAATAACCTAGTCAAAACATTAGTGCAGCAAAAAAAGACTTCATTCACTCACTACAGATCTTTCAAAGTAGGAACTGATATATTTTTTTGTTGTTGTTAAAAACA